CATCTGGCTTTCGGTCGTTGGTGTTCAATGCATCAAATCTATTCTTTAGATGATCTCTAAATTCAGGAGGGATATATTCAAGATCATACTTTGGCTCTATGCTACCAGAGCTTAATGAATCCTTACTCTTATTAAGGCAAGAATAATGAGTTCCAGCCCAGAGCCAGGGTCTCCTAGTGTCCCCTTATGGTGGATCTTTTTGGATATAGAGAAAAACATATGCCTCCTTTCAAAAAAATTAAGACCAGATGCTATGCATGTTTTAAGGGCACAGGATTGTGCCTTTGCTCTGCTTGCAATCGTCTCTGGGCCTGACATGGATTTCCAAGGACTGCTTTACTTCAGGAAAGGAATATAGTGTTCCCTCCGGCTCAAATAAGCTATCAGAAGAGCATTTCTGAAACCTCGGGCCCAGTATGCAGAGTGTGGCCTTGGATAAGGAAGCCAGAACCAGCCCTTTGAGCTTCCTGAGCCCACAGCCCTGCCCCCTACCTCTTACCTCTTGCAGTGCTTCCGCAGCTGTTCCCAAATCAGCAGAATCAGTTCTGTCTTCACCTGCTGCAGGTAGGGGCCCACGGACCCTGATGTGTCCAGCAAGATGCACACTTTACTCTCCAGGATGGCACCAAACAGACGGCGGCTCCCTGCTCCAAGGTGGGTGGTGACTCAGGCAGAAAAGGAGTGAGGGGTCTCTCCTCCTGCCTGGTTTTCCTCACTGTTAGCTATTAGTTCCCTGGTTTTGCAACACCTGCTGCCTGACTGATAATTTATCAGCTGTCAATCCACTGGGAGGAGTCCCTTAGTGTTGCAAACAGTAAACACTGAGCTGCTAACTGAAACGTTGGGAGTTTGAGTCCACCCAGAGGCACTTTAGAAGAAAGGCCTGGTGATCTACTTCAGAAAGATGAGCCACTGAAAACCCTGTAGAGCACAGTCCTACTGTGACACACGTGAGGTTGCCATGAGTTCGAGTTGACTCCACGGCAACTGGTTAATGCATCTGGAGATGTTCTCTGTGGTGCTGTTGGAGGGGGCAAGGCCCACGGGCAGAGCAGAGCAGAGAGTGTAATCTTTGAGAGAGAGAGAGAGAGTGCAGTGCTGGCTCTTCCTGTGATGAACTTGCTCAAGGGGTTAAAATATCCCTGAGCTTGAGTTCCCTCATTTAGAAACTCAAGTGGTTGGACTAAATAGCATTGTTTTGGCTGGAAGAGGTGTTAGAGAGCACAAAGTCACTCAAGTGGTCAATGGAAATTAACTGAGCATCTACTACGTAACCAGCAAAGTACAGTAGTGAACAAGAGAGGATCCCTGCCCTCATGGAGCTTACAGTTGGGCAAGGAAGACAGATAGTAAATGAAAAAGAAAACTATGCTGAAATCTCATCTACCCTGAGACCAGAAGAACTAGATGGTGCCCGGCTATCACTGCCGAACATTCTGAACAGGGTCATGACAGATGGACCCTGACAGGGAGCAAAACGTGGAAAATAACTCAAATTGTTGAAAAGGCCAGACTTACTGGACCAGTGGAGACACAGAACTCCCTGAGACTATCACCCTGAGATACACTTTAAACCTCAAACTGAAACTATTCTCAGAGGTCATTTTGGTGAAATAATAGAGTAACAGACAAAATAAAGGCTATTACCCATGAGTACAGAGGTCCATTAAAAAACAGAAAGGTTAACAGTTACTCTAATGCAAAGATGAGAAGTGGGGGGCAGGAAACTAAAGTACTGAAGGGGGAACAAAAAAGATGCAATTAAAGAGAATATTGATACATTGTGGAAAATGTAACTAATGTCATTGAACAATTTGGGTAGAAATTGTCAGATGGGAACCTAACTTACTTTGTAAACTTTTGAGGGCGATGAGCAAGTGGATGGTGTTATGGGAACATAAAATGGGTGAACTAAGCTAGTTGGATATAGGCAGGGGCAAAGAAGCCACAACTGAAACTGAAGTTGAGTAGCAGTTAATCAAAGAAAGATAGGGTGTGGGGAGCTCATAACAAATACAGGGAACACCAAGTGGAAAGGGTGTGAGGAGGGAAGGTAGAGCACAGCATGGTTGAGAGTGAGAAAAAGTCGATGTGAGGAAATGAAAAAAAGGTGGGGTGGAGAGACCTGTGGAGAGAGAGACGTGCCCCAAAGCTGGAGAGGTTATGAAAGGATTTGGGATTTGTCCCAAGGGGAAACCGAGAGGGCTGGCGACTGGCCCAGGGTCAAATTGGCAGTGGCAGAGCCTCGGCTCAAACCCAGGCTTTAGTCAGGCAAACACTGATCCTAGTGTGTTCAGCTCCATGGGCCAAACAGAGAACACACAGGAGAGCGAAACAAGCAGAAGGTGCTGTGTGCAGGGCGGGGCCTGTCCCCCAGGGACTCCTCTGGGGCTCACTGGAGGCAGGAGGAAATACTGCTGCAAAGGGGACATGTACCCCGGGAAACCGGGTGGGCTGAGCCAGCTGGACCTTGCCAAGAGCCTCCCGGGACTCTGGGGTGTCCTCCAGCCATGCTCATGTCAAAGGAAGGACAAGAGCAAAATGGGGACATGCGTCTCCCTGAAGCATGGGGGAAGTTCCACAAGAGTAGCCAGCTGGCCAGACAAGACGGCCACAGATGGCCAGCTGCCCATTCCTGGGAACCAGCCAAGGGAAGCACTGCAAGCCACTGCGGCCTGTCGTCTTTACCTCTGAAGCCTCTCTAACTCTACCCACTTTGTCCACCTCCATCAACACTTTGCCAGTTGTCCTCATCTTTCACCTAGGCTACAATTAGGTCACCCTGATTCCACTCCATCCCTTCAACAATTTATTTCCCACGCAGCAACCAGAGGGACTATTGCAAATGCTAACTTGATCAGGTAATTCACTTTCCCTCTATTTAAAACCTTTACCACAGGGGTAGCAGTCACATGGAAGGAAAGCTGGACAGACAGGAGTGCATGGACAAGAGGGGCACAGGGAGGGCATGGTCACAGGGTGGAGAGGGGAGGAGAGTTTTTCATGGTTGGGGATGGTTATCAGGCCATGCAATCAGATATACGTGAACTGTTGAATGTAAAACAAGTTTGCTATGTAAATCTGTACCCAAAGTACAATAATAATAATAATAATAATAATTAAAAAAACACCTTGTGATGGTAATGGGTTCCCATTACTCTTAGGATAAAGAACACAGTTTGTGCCATGGCCTCACCTCTCTAGGATGGTCTCACTGATCCTGTCCCTCACCCTCAGCCACACTGGCTTCCTTTCAGACCTTCTTACCACGCTCTCCCCAGCTCAGGCCCCCAGCCCATGCCCCTCTTTCCTCCCTCTGCCCTTTCTCTGCATCTATTCACTCTACAGGCTCCGCTCAGACATCACCTCTTACAGGGAAGCCTTCTGTGACCTTCCCATCCAGGCCAGCTGTCCCTCTCACAGGCTCCCACTGCGCCACGTCCCTTGCCTCCCTACATGTGTCACAGTTGTGATTTTAGATTTGCTGACACTTGTGAGACTCTTTGATGGATGCCCGTCTTTGTCTAAACCATGAGCCCAGGGACTATGTTGGGTTTTGCCTTCCACCATCTTCCGAGCATCTAGCACAACACCGACACTTATTTGCATAATGAATCAATGAAGCATCCCCTGGGTAAGTTTTGAAGAATTAAACAATGTGTTTGGGTGTGTGATGTGGGGGCCTTGTGTTTCAAAAGCAGTGGATGAATCTCTGGTCTTCACGCTCTTCCCAGTGGTGAACATGAACTGGGAGTAGGGAGGGGCATGCAAGCTCTTCACCTCACCTCAGCCTCTGACCTGACAACTATACCCAGAGCCTGCAACCCCTCTACAGGCTTTGGAAAGCAGTCATTGCCACACTCCACAGCCCAAGGACTGTTTAGACCAGCTTCTGCTGCAGAGGACTGAACTTAATGGATGTATACAGGGCCACCTGCAGGCAGTCTATGAAAGGCTGTCTCCTTCCTCTTACTGCCCCAGGAACCCTTCCAGGGCCCAAAGCCTACGTGCTCTCCTCCAGTTCTTGGACTGGGTACTTCAGCCCGTCTCTCAATTTCCAGCCTACCATTCTCTGGGTGTGACCTCGACTCTCCTCAGCCTGACCAGCTACCCCTCCTGGGGGGCTCCTGATGCTATTTGTAAAGATTAAGGGAAGTTCTTCCCTCTGTCAGGATCCTCTCACCATCTCTACCTTCATGGAAGCATCTAGGAGGTGGGCATCTCAGGAAGACAAGGCATGGAAGGTGGCCTTGTGGAGCAGCCTTGATGGATGGTTCTCTGTGGTGCTCTTTGGCCAGCACACCACCTCCCTGTCACCCAGCCCCCGACAAACAGCACAACGCCTGCGCTCTGCAGCCACAGTCATATTGTACCTGGTTGGTCACCCTGACCTAATGCCCTGACCTGACAGTGCCTGAGTCCCTGGCTTTGGAAGAACTGTCCCAGGGGTCCCTCGTGCCCTTTTGCCCTCCAGGACAGCAGGTAGGCTCACCAGTCAACAGCCACTGCAGCCTCTGGACATAGCGCCTCATCACCTTCTCCACGCATGTGATGTACCTTTCGATTTCCCAGAGCGTGCACTGAAGGTGTCTTACCAGTCCCTGCATTAAGGCAAGTAAAGCAAATCCTCATCCCTCCCCTCACCCTCATAAATTTCACCATTTCCCCATAATAACCAGAATAGCTTATTCCATTTGTGGTTAAGAACTTCCAAAATATCTGTTAAGCATACATAAATATGTAACATTTCGTAAATTTAGACATTGTTTTCTTCTATTAAACTACTAGGATTTATGGTTCTAGGAGGAAGTGGAGGATTTGGGATGATAGCTTGTGGCAAATGTGGTCACTGTAATAGTAAAAAGCATAACCCACTGCTATTGAGTTGATTCCAACTCATAGCAACCTTCATTGGTTTCCAAGATGGTAAATCTGGGCCCCATCTGCCTTTTCTAGGATGGCTGGTGGGTTTGAACTGCCAGCCTTCTGGTTAGCAGTCAAATGCCTTAGGCACTACGCATGCTGTTGTTGTTATGTGCCGTTGAGTTGGACCTGACTCATAGCGACCCCTCCTTGGGTTTCCGAGGCAGTATCACTGTGGAAGTAGATTACCCAACCTTCCTTCCAAGGAGTGGCTGGTGGGTTTGAACCACCAGCCTTCTGGTTAGCAGTCAAGTGCCTTAGGCACTATGCTACCAGAGCTCCTACTACACACACTAGTATCAGCAATTTGCAGCTGAGGAGAGGTAGGGCGTGGGGGAGGAAGAACAACAATTCTGAACAATTATGACTTACATTGATCTCGACGCTGGGGAAGACACTGCAGTGTTTGGCTGATGCTGACCCCTGTGCTGACTTTTGATGAGTGCAACTGGGACCAATGTGTCTGGAGATCTCCATCTTCAGATTTTTGAGCCTACAATTGGCTACCCACTTTAAAATAAAGGAGAACTAATCAAATAAAATCATAGAAGGAGCCCTGGTGCCACAGCAGTTAAAGTGCTCAGCTGCTAACCAAAAGGTGGCAGTTGGAACACACTGCTGGCTCCTCAGAAAAACACAGGGTCATTATGAGTTGGAATCAACAGCTATGGGTTTGGTTTTTTTGGTTTTAATAAAATCAAGAACCATTATCTCAGATAATTCAGACTTAATTGAATGATTGTCTGACACATCTCTCTGTGAACACTTTTGAAATGGACTTTACCAAATGGTTAACCTGCTCACTGAGACTCTGTTGCATGCAGATTCCTTCCTTGGCTCGGGAGAGATGCACCAGAAATGTAGCACAGGGAACAAAATTTAGTCAGCACCTATATTCCTTAGCCTAATGGACATAATTCCTGCCACAACATCAGTTTCTATCTTTCCCCACAATATTTGGGTGAAAACCCCTGATTGGTCAGAAGGCCAGACTCTAAACCAGTCAGGATAATCCCACTCTCCTTGCCATAATGATGGATACAAGAATGCGCATGCCCAAACCAATCAGAACCTGACACTCAGGATTGCCCCAATCAACACCAAGTTTGGACTCTTACTGGATGCTTGTGGGAAGAAAGAAATTCTACCTGTCTTGTGGATATGAATGAACAGGGGGATTTCTGTGGCTTGCAAGCAAAATCTTAGACACTTAGACACCACTAAGTGTACTGTTCACAAAACACACTTCAATTAATCCTTACATCAATCCTGTTAGATGAGTCTTCATTTTACAAACAAGAACACTGAGATTAAGAGTAGCTAAATGGCTTGCCCTTGGCCACCCAGTAAGGAAGTGACAGATCCAGGTTTCAAACCTGGGTCTATTTGACCCTTATCCCATTGCCACATTAAGCAGTCATTCTAAGCAGATTTGCCTACATTTTCAAGTAGGCCCACCCTCCTACAGTAAGGATTTGTGGATGGAATTGTTGCCTAGGGGGCATGTGGTACTGGAGACAATACCTCTTTGCTTGAGCAAATTTTATCCTTTCTGGGCAACACAGTAGAAGAGTTAATCCTTCTTACACTCTTTCCCTGAGGGTACTTCTTGTACACTGAGCCTAGGAAAAACACAGTAAGGTTATCTTATGCACCTCAAGGCCCAATTCTCCTCCCATTTTTCCCTTTTTTGGGTCAATTTTCCTTGTCAATCTATTGTCATTTGTACCATTCTGTATGTGCAATTTGCTGAGAGGTAGAAAGGTGGAAGGCTGTTGAGGGGACCTCTCTTTGCACGGCATCAGTGAATTGTTCCTGGGATAGGTACCATTTCATGGGAATTAATCAGGCTGGCCGAGAGGAATCGTCTCCATCCCCTTCTCAATCAGCCTCAGAGCTAAGGACACTAACCCCTCACACCCATGAGTGGAGCTTGAGGGTCAGGCCAAGGACCTCAGGGGGATTATATATCCAACTTTAACTTTTCTTATTCTCTTGTCAGTGTCAAGACTTCATAGGTCCATTTTCCTGCCTGGGAGAACTGAGTTGTTTGAGAATGGGCCTCCTCCAGAGACACAGCTGTCCTGGGACTTCCTTCCCAGGGTGCCTGCTGACCTTACTGTTCATACAGGGTGAGGGGCTGCCTAGACATCTGTGCAGGATTCATGCCTCCAACTTACCCACGTTATTCCCTGTATCCATATAAAACAGGGAGAGAGATGCCTCTGCCTCCCGTGATTTTATCTTCTTCCTCTTCCGTTCCGTAGTCCATTCTTTCACTGACTGGACTGGAGCTAGGGAACATTTGCCTGTCAGTTAGAGCAGCCTTCTGGGCCCATTTGGCAAACTTGTCCTACCTGGCTCAGGGGCTTCTCAACTTCAGCTATGTTGTGTCTTGGAAGATGGGGCTCCAGGTTGGCCTTGAGATGCCCCAGGGTACCTGACCTCATCTGGATCAGCAATAGCCAGAGCTACCATTTACTAAGTCTTGACACTGGACAGTGAAAACTGCTTGCCTACCAGCTGAAAGGCTGGAGGTCCATGCCCACCCTGAGGCATTCTGGAAGAAAGCCATAGTGATGTACTTCTGAAAAACCAGCCATTGAAAACCTCATAGGGCACAGTTCTACTCTGACACACATGAGGTCACGAGGAGTTGGAGTCTACTTGACCACAGCTGGGGTGAAGACATTTATTTACCAGACATGGTGCTAAGTGCTTTCTATACACTGTCTCATTTTATCCTCAACCCTCAAGTTTACAGGAGTTCTGGTAGCATAGTGGCTAAAGCACTTGACTGCTAACCAGAAGGCTGGTGGTTCAAACCCACCAGCCACTCCTCGGAAGGAAGGTTGGGCAATCCTACTTCCGTAGTGATACTGCCTCGGAAACCCAAGGAGGGGTCGCTATGAGTCAGGGCTGACTCGACGGCACATAACAACAACAACAACAACCTCCAGTTTACAGATGAGGCAAGTGGGACTCAGAGCGAATAAGTAGAGGTAAGATTCCAGCCTGGGTTTGCTGACTCCAGAAGTAAGCTCCAGATCACTCTGCTACATCTTTGATGTTAAAAGGACTTCAGGCAAGATGATAGAATAGGCAGACAAGCTACACAGACCTTCTATGACAAAGAAACAAGAAACCAATTGAAACAGATACAGAAGATAATCCTGGGACCCTGAGCTTTGAAGGGAAGGAGAAAGAAGTGGATTAACTATTGAGTAGTACAAGAACCTGATTGAAGACAGTGGATAAGGAAATGAATGGAACTGTGGACTGTTGGCTGGCCTGATGGTCCAGCCATTTTGAATATTTGGAACCAATATTCCAATCCAGGCAGCAACTTGATGATCATCTCTGCTTCCAGAGAATGGCACAGGCAACCACACTGGTGGCTGGTAATCAGAAAGCAACTTGCCCAACCACATCCACACCTCCTGAAGCTCCCCCCCCCCATGGGGAAAGGGCCAACATCTGCTTCTTCACCAAATGATCAACAACAGTGTCCAATTCCAGCCCAACTCACCCTCAACTGCTCTACTTGGACAGCTTACAGAGATCTGTGCACACATTCTCATTCTCTATCACAGTCACCAGGAGACAGGTGGTGAGTGCCTAAGTGCCATCAAACTAGTGAACAGATTAGCAGACCAGCCCTGCTTGCTCAGATCTATCAAAACAAAATAAACAAAAACAAAAACAAAACACCTGGGTGAATCATACCAATATACAATCACCAATTAAATATAATACAATGACATCACAATGTCCTGGAGACAACTGACAAATCCCAGTTCACACAAAGAAGCAAGATAAAGTAGTACAGACAAGGGACCTGTATAAAAAGCTAGAAACCTCCCTGAGGAAGAAGTGGCATTGGAACTACCTGACTAGGAATTCAAAAGAATTATATTTAGGTACCTTCAATGGCTGGAGAGGCAAGTCAAGGAAAACACTGACAAAATCAAGGAAAATATCATAAAAATAAGGAAAATGGTCAAAACTCTAGAACAATTTAGGAAAACAATACAAGAACAAACTGACAAAATAAATGAAAAATTAGAATCCACACAAAAACAGCAAATAGAAATCCAGAAGACTGATACTAAGATTTCAGAAATAGATAACACATCAAAAAGGCAAAGGAATAGAATCAAGTCAGTGGAAGACGTAATAAGTGAGACTGAAGACGAATCTCTCTCAATACTAAAGGATCAGTCAGAAAAAGATCAAAATAAAATGAAGAAAGCCTAACATTTATGTGGGACAACAGTAAGAGGAATAGCATATGTCTGATCAGAATTCCAGAACAGGAAGAGACAAATAAAATCACAGAGAAAATCGATAAAGAATTGTTGGAAGAGAACTTCCCTAACATGATGAAAGAATAGAAGATATTCATTCAAGTAGTTCAGTGAACCCCAAATAGGATAGACTCCAAAATAAAATCACCAAGACATATCATAATCAAACTTACCAAAACCAAAAAACCAAAAAAAAAAAAAAACCAAACTCACTGCTGTTGAGTTGGATCCGACTCATAGCGACCCCTCCTTGGCTTTCCGAGGTGGTATCTCTATGAGAGTAGATTGCCCAGTCTTCCTTTTGAGGAGTGGCTGGTGGGTTTGAACTGCCAGCCTTCTGGTTAGCAGTCAAATGCCTTAGGTACTATGCCACCAGAGCTCCTACCAAAACCAAAGACAAAGAAAAAAAATTTTGAAAGCAGCATGTTGTTGTTGTTGTTATGAAAGTAGCATGGGAAAACAAAAATTTATCTACAAAGGACAACTAATAAGACTAAGTTCTGATTTCTTGGCAGAAACTATGCAGGTAAGAAGGCAATGGGATGACATATATAAAACACTTAAAAAATTAAACACTCATCAAAACTGTCACTCAAAGGGAAGGAATTGTTACACTGTGGGGATTGTAATCAATGCTATCAAACCAAATGTGTGTGACCTGTTGAATGGAAAACAAATTTGTTCTGTAAACTTTCACTCAAATCACAATAGATTTTTAACAAATTTAAAAAGAAATTAGATATAGGGTCTTAGGTCCAATGGGGAGCTCTGGTGGCATAATGCCTAAGGCATTATTTGACTGCGAACTGTGAACCAGAGGGCTGGAGGTTCAAACCCACCAGCCACTCCTTGGAAGGAAGGTTGGGCAATCTATTTCCATAGTGATACTGCCTTGGAAACCCAAGGAGGAGTTGCTATGAGTCAGGTCTGACTTGACAGCACTGAGTTTGGTTTGTTTTGGTTAGGTCCTATGAGCTGAGTACTTTCATAAAATACTGATGCCTTGCTACAACAACTGGCACACCATGCTTAGCCCTTCTGAGCCTGAGTTTCCTTAGATCTGTAAAATGGGAAACTAATACAGTACCCACAGCATGAGATTGCTGAAGGCTTTAAATGAGACATTTTAGCAGAAGGGCTGGGACATGATCTAGACTCATGATCACTGGTCATCTTAGTGATTCTTGTTACTGATGCAGGATTCACCATGGACTGGGGCCTTCCTCAGCCTTGCCTGGGCTGCCCCTCCACCTGGGCCCCCAGCCTGATCATGGCTATGCCTTACCTGGTGGGATGGTCGCTCTGCCACTGAGTGGACGCCATTTCAGAGCTTCCATGGGAAGAGTCTTCTCTCTGTCAGAGTCATCCTTAACACTCTAGAAAACAGGCAGTCTTTCCCATCAGTGGTCTGGTTTCTGTGGCGAGCAATATCCCAATCACCCCAGCCTCAATCTGTCAATTATGAACCTCTGCAGGAAGGGGCCCAGGGGAGCCCCAAGGAGATGCCTCACATGTCTGAGCCATCTCTTACTGAAGACTCCAAGAGGGCTCTGGGTTTTGAGGTGAAAAAGTTCACATGTGAGAGACAGAGAGAGAGAAAAGGAAAGTTTATATGTGTGTAAGAGAGAGAATGGTAGAGAGTGCTAAGACAACAGAGAGGTTTTGCCAGAACTTTCCACACCAGCTACCTCCCTTTTCCTACGACACTGGAATTTCTGGACCTCTAGCATAACAAGCAACCATTCAGGTAATTTCTGTTCCCCACTGGGCACCTTAGTTTTAAGGGAGCAGACCCTTCATTAGTGGGCATAAGTGGAATTCACAGATAGTTAAACAAGGTCACCCAGGGCCCTGTGCCAGCTGAGGAGACCTCTGGTCCAGGCACCACAAGAAAGGCCCTGGCACTGCCACCCCTGGGAGCCTCTGGCCCTGTTCTCAGGAAGGCCCATTAGAGGGCTTGGTGGTGCCAAGAGCAGGCCATGGGATTCTGGGGTTTCACCCCAGACAGCTACATGGAAGGCCGGAGAGGGCAATGTGTTTGGGCTGGCTCCTGAAACCTGATGGAGTTCTTGGAATGAGGGCCATGCCTGTGTGGCCAGAATCCCCTGGGAGATTTCCACATTCAGTAAACATGCTGTGTTCACAAGGGCTGTCATCAGTGAAACGCTGAGGAATCCCCTTTGCTCACAAGTGCCGTTGATTCTGGGGGCTTGCCACAGTCATCTCTCTAGAGAGTCCTGACCGCTGAGAGTATTTTCGGCGGGACAGCCATGACAGCTGGGAACGGGGGTAAACCCCAGGCACAGGCCATTCTCCAGGCTCTTGCTCCCATCAGGCCCCTGCTAAGTCTCGGCAGCAGTGGTAACAGCCCATTAGCCACCTTAATTCCTTTGCCCCTGAGAGGCCCTCCAGGACATGCAATGGTGGGTGCCCACACCATGGAGTCCTTAGCACGGGGCTTGGAAACAAAGATGGGCTAGCCGGCAGAACCAAAGGCAGGTGGGGGAGAGGTCAGAGTGCAGGACGCCCAGGGTATTCCTCCCCCAGGAGGTCAGGCTGGAGGCAACCTGGGACACTCACCACTGAAGACCCTGGGGTCCCCCCCCCGCCCCAGTCCTGGACCCCGGGGCCTTGGCCCAAGCCACATGACATTGATATCTAGGAAAGACCAGAAGACAAGGTGGGAGCAAATTCCTCTGCGTGTTATCAGTGAGGGGAGTCAAACCGCTCTGGTCACGGTGAGGGCTCTGGCCTTGGGAGGATGGAGTTTTGGGGGTTGACTTCTTTGCTTGAGCATCTTTGGTTTTTCTTTAGGGACAGCAGTACTTTCCAGTTCTTTTCCCGACTGGTTCTTCAGGGAAGCCATGAGTAAGGCACACTGCAATGGGGGGTGGGGGGTTAGCAGGACCCCTGGCCACTGTATGCCTCCAGGCAGTGGACAGGCACACACACACATACACACACTCACACACATATACACACATACAGTCACACAATCACACTTACTCATACACACACACTCACCTGCACACCCACAGTACACATATCCAGACACAGCACATGTGTCACATACACTCACACACATATACACTCACACATATACACATACACAAACTCACACTCATTCACACATATAAACACTCATATACACACAAACACATATGCTCACACATAGACACAACACATGTACACGTTCATAAATACATTCATACACATGCAAACACACACACATATACATACATACACACATACATATAAACCCTCATATACACACATGCTCATATACACATATATATACACTCACAGACATGCACACATACACTCACACATACAGGCACAAAACATACGTACCTATTCTCACACACTCACATAAACACAACACATGTACACACACACTCATACACATGTACACACCCCCATATACACATGGACACACACATACACACATATACACATACATACATACACTCTCACACACACACATACAAACCAAAAAAGTCCACTGCCATCGAGTCAATTCTGACTCAAAGTGACCCTTTTAGGACAGAGTAGAATTGCCCCATAGGTAAATCTTTATGGAAGCAGACTGCCCCATCTTTTTCTTGCAGAGCAGCCGGTGGGTTCAAATCACTAGCCTTTCAGTCAGCAGCCAAGTGTGTTAGCCACTATGCCACCAGAGCTCCTGCACACACACCAAAAACCAAAACCAAAATCACTGTCATTGGGTCAATTCTGACTCAGAGTGACCCCCACTGGGTTTCCAAGGATGTAAATCTTTATGGAAGCAGACTGCATCATCTTTCTTCCTTGGAGTGGCTGGTGGGTTTGAACCACTGACCTTTGGTTAGGAGCCAAATGCCTTAACCACTACTCCACCAGAGCTCCTTTACACACATACACACACCTGCAAATACCTGGCGGGGTGGCTGGGTCCACTGGGACCTCCGGCATCCCCTGGACTCCTCTTTCTGCCTCTTGAGTGTGACTTGGACTGAGACTGAAGACAAAGCCTATTGCCAACTGCTCTCCAACCTTCTGCCAACAGGCATGCCAGCTCTGCCAATCAGGTAGGTGCCACTATTATCTCCACTTTACAGATGAGGAAACCAAAGCTCCATGAGCAGAAGGGACTTGCCCAAGCCCACACAGCTAAGTATGGGAGGAGCTGCCATTCACACCCAGGGGCTCTGGTTCCAGAGCCAGTGCTCTTCCCATCTGCCACTGTGCACCCAGCATCCGTCAGTTCTTCCTGTGCCCAGGCTGCCTCTAATGCTGGCCGGAGAGCGGTGCAATGCTTGACGCCTTTTGCCTACAAAGTTCTCAGTTGCCTCAAATGTTCTCCAGCAATTACTCTCAATCCCTAGGCAGGGCAAGTGGTTCCACACTGGACTACTAACTGAAAGGTTGGCTGTTCAAACCTACTCAGAGACGCCTCAGAAGACAGGCCTGGCTGTATCCTGCCAAAAGGATGTAGCCTTGGAAACCCTGTGGAGCAGTGCCATGGTGCACATGTGGGGTCGTTATGAGTGGGAATCGGAATTGACTGGATGGCCACTAACAGCAATAACAACAGCAAATTATTCTCGAAGCACCAGAGCCCACTGTCATGGAGTAGATTTCGACTCCCAGCAACCCCACAGGGCAGAGCAGAACTGCCCTAGAGGGCTTCTAAGGCTGCAAATGGTTATGAAAGCAGACTGCAGACTGCCACGGAGCAGCTGGTGGTTCCAACCCCAGCCTTTTGGTTAGCAGCCCCATGGTTTAACCACAGCGCCACCAGAGCTCCTTCAAAGCACGAGAAGACATCATTAAAATGTAAATAACTATCCCAGGAAGAGTGGATTGTGCCATTCTTGTGTATTAACAACTTGTGAATGAGTTTCTGGATGATGGAATGAGATGGATGGCATCTGGGAGAAGGTGACAAAGCCCCAAAGGGTAGCTCTCTTGGGGAGGGCAGCAAAAGCAAGTCAAAGGGAGGGAGGAAAGAATATGGAGATATGACCCCTCCCAGGGACTCACAGTCTGGTTGGGACGGTAAGTCCTCCCTGAAAGGGGATGTGCTTAAAGCAGAAAGCAGGCTGCAACTAGATAGAGGGACCGTTGCACAACATGCTTAATGTCATGGAATGACAGACTTTAAATGTTAAATTTTACGTCACATGCATTTTACCACATCTCTTGCCACTGGGTCAACTTTGACTCATAGCAACCTTATAGACAGACTAGAACTGCCCCACAGAATTTCCAAAGTTGTAATCTGTACAGAAACAGACTGTCACATCATTCTCCAGTGAAGCACTGGGTGGGTTTGAACTGCCAACCTTACAGATAGCAGCTGAGCACTTAACCACCGCACCACCCAGGCTCCTTCTATTTTACCACAAAAAGGAAACTTACAACATTATTGGGGGAAAAAAGAAAGAGGCAGGATGTGTCTCCTTCCCAGGCTCCTCCTGCCTTGTTCAAGGCCATCCACACAGTCTCCGTCCACCCCCAGGGCCCGAACTGGCCCACGTCTCAGTCCCCAGTCCAGATCCTTTCTCTGACCATGGGCGGGAATAGAAGACAGAGGAGATGGTGGGTTCAAAGGGCCCCAGATTAGGAACGCATTTAGGAGGAACTCAAAGGAGGCCGGTGCCTTCTCGGAACCCTGGGGTTCCCTGGGATGCCCCTCTGCCAGTGGATCAGGACACCAGGCTCACCTTTTGGGAGTAGCTGAAAGCTTTTTCCATCTCAGACACGATGGCGTTGATGTCATCACTGTCGTAAATGCCTGGAAACAGCACACCGTGAGCACATGACCTTCTCGTCCTACCACTTACACACTACCTGTGTGCTCTGGGGTAAAGTAGTTAAGCTCTCTGGAGCTCAGCTTCCCCATCTGAAAACCTGGGAGCGTAATAATACTACTTCCTTGGCCTGTTGTGAGTAATGAGTTGCACCATATGTAAAACGCTCAGAACAGTGTCTGGCATATAACAGCATGTTGTCAGCTGCCTGCCGCTTGGCTCTGACTCATGGTGACGCCGCGTATAACAGAAGGAAACGCTGCCCTATCCTAAGCCATCTTCAGGGTCACTGCTATGCCCAAGTCCACTGCTGTGGCCACTGTGTACTGTGATTGCCTTGTTGTGATGTGTAGCGATCTCACTGGCTAATTTTCGGAAGTAGGCTGCTAGGCCTTTTTTTCTAGTCTAGTTTGGAAGTTCCACTGAAATCTGTTCAGCGAGGGTGACCCTGCTGGTATTTGAAATACTGATGGCCCAGCTTCCAGCATCATAGTCACCCTAGTATGACAAACTGATAGGAAGGTGGTGGAGCTGTTATATATGTGTTTGTTGTTGTAACTAATAATAAAAAATGAAATGTGCACGCCCAGTTTTTTTTTTCTTTAATGGAAAGGAAGAGCTGTGAAAGAGAGGCCCGGAGTTCCAGCTGGGCTCTGTCACCCACTGTGTGAGCACAGGCAGTGGCGTCCTGGGAACCCTTTCCTCCCCTGTAAATCAGGGCGCTTGGAACGCTCAGCCCTTCCCACGTCACTGTCACTGTCACCATGTCTGCCTTCTCTGCATTCTGCCTAAACCACTGTTTCCTCAATATATACGTTTAATCGACTCACTTTTTGTTCAGTTGAAAGTATATAAAAAAGAAAATTTAGGTCACCACTTACAATGGCAAGCTGGCATTTTTCCAAGAAATGTTAACATGCGCATAAAACTATCACAATAAAATGTGCTCCTTTGTCTCCCACCTGTAACTCTCTTGCAGGCCCCCCATCCAGGAAACATTAAACTAGGGGATCGTTACTGATCCCTTTCAGCTCTGCATTCTAACATATTTTAAAATGGTGCGTGGTGCTATACTACTGACAGGCAGGTGTCAGTGGAACTGCCAGACCAGATGGACCAGGAAGAAAAATCTGAGAATGTAATTCCAGAAATCAGCCAGCGGAAACCCCATGGGTCACAACAGCACAGTCTTCAGCTGACAGGGACAGTGCAAGACTGGCAGCGTCTGCTCCGTTGAGCATGGGTAGCCGTGAATCAGGGCCGACTCAACAGCTGCTAACAACGTGTTGAAATGTGATTTTCACACACAAAACATCTAGTGTATGAGGGAACTATGCTGGTACTAAGTCACCTGGCTGGAAAGAGGTGGAAGGGTCAGCCAACAGCCACAAACCTGTGTCTCCAAACCAGTGGAATCGGCCTCCAGTGGCCCGGGTGGCCTCCCTGTAGGCGTTGGCTGTGTCGGAGCAGCTGGCATAGCAGGCAGGGGGTGTGCTGTCCATCGCTGGCTCACCCACATAGAACAGACACACATTCAGCTGGAGGTCACAGCCCCCACAGACCTCGGCCATGTAAGCACTGAGCAGGGACTGCAGGGGGAGAGAGAGCAGGGGAAACTCATAGCTGTTGTCTCAGGTCAGTTGAGCCTAATCATCTTTCTTGAGGGCCTACTGTGTGCCTAGGCTAGTGCTCAGCACTGAAGGCAGAAAGATGCGTGAGCCTGGGTCACAATTTCAACAACCTAACACAGCCCGGTGAGCTGTCTGGACATCTGGCTATTATCTAAGTGTGGTCTGTGGCCCCGTGGCATCAGCCTCCCTTGGGAGCTTATTAGACATGCAGAGTCTCAGGCCTCACCCTGGATCTACTCAATCAGAATCTGCATTTTCACAAGACCACCACGCAGCTGTTAAAGTCTGAGAAGCTCTGGTGTAGAAAGTCACGCTGCGGAAACCAGTTCCAAGCTTCGACCTGGGGGACGATGTGGGGCCATTAAGGGAAACAGGGCCCAGGACCACCCCTACCTACCATGTCCTGGTCAGGGATGCCCCCAGTGAAGAGGTAGATGCCTTGCGATTGGTGTTTGTCCTTGTCCTTGAAGTCCACTTCCACAGCCTTCCGCAAGGCACTGAGGGCATTCCTACTGCCTTGACACCGCAGGCTTAGTGCCCACCTGGGGAGGCAGAGGAAGGAGATGCTGAAGGAGTAGGCCATCTACGTGACCCACAGGGAAGAGGGCTCCCATGGTTCAGCGGTGTGGGAGAGGGCAGGGAGGGGAAAGCAGCTGCCTTCTGACTTCTGCTCAGGTCTGTTGGAGGGCGGGGACTCCGGAGAGCTACTTCCTGAGGGGGATAGAGGAAATCACAGAGGCCCAGGCTGCTCTTGAGCTGTTACCTACCGCCAGGCGCTCTGCAAATTGTCATGGCTCACGGGAACCATCTCAGACCTCCAACTTTCAATTGTGCTTCCAAACCTTTGAAAGAGGCAAAGAAGGTTCGTTAGGCAGGAAGCGAGCATACTGACCCTGTAGCCCAGCTCTTTGGACTCCCCAGGGTTTTAGGGGGGCAAAATTCTGATCACATCCCCAAAATGGAAGAATCTCACAGGGCTAGGCCAGTCACAGAACTGCCTTGCTCTTGGTGGTGTGTCCTAGCACATCCAAGGTGTGAGCAGAGCTGGGCTCTCCACCAGGGCACACTGAGGACCAGCTTTGGCAAGCTCCCCTCCTACAGTGTTGACTGTAACATGTGCCCTCTCCCTTCTTGTGACCTTCCCCACGCCCCAAGAAGTCAGCGATTCTCCCTTTTTAAGCTGTCCTAACACTGATCTCCCACATAACACATTTTCTACTTGAACTAGTTATATTTTTTAAAAATACGCATATCTTATTTTTTGAGAAGAAGTGTCTCCTCTCTGGTTTAAGACTAATTCTTCCAACGGGAAATAAGGAGTGACTGCTAATGGGTGTGAGTTTCTTTTTGGAGTGATGAGAATGTTTTAAAATTGATTGGGATGATGATTGCATGACCTTGTGAATGTATTGAAAACCACTGAATTATACATTTAAAAGAGTGTGGTGTAGTAAATTACTTAGTGTGGCTTTTCTACTCATAAGTCTTTGTAAACTCCCAGGTGGAATTTGCCATGAGCAACTGAGGAGCTCCTGATTGCTAAAGTTGTCCACCTGGGGTATTTCTGTTGGACGTGGCACAAAGCAATGTTCTGGGAGGTTCCCACTCTCTCTCAGGTGCTTAGAATTTTGCTGTTATGATCAGTTGGTTTGGCCACTCTGCCGGGGTCAAAAGGAGGCCTCCTAGACAGAATTCTCTCTGACTGATGGCTGAAGAAGACGTGCTGCTGAAAGAGACACACGCTGCTGGGAAAGAGACGCAAGAGATACGCATTGCTGACAGAGACACTGTGGACACACACTGCTGGGATACGGACTGTAGAGACTGTTGGCTGAGAGATGGTGGGCTGAGGGAGACTGAGCGTTTTTCCTGAACTTGAACTGTAGCCTGGTGCTTCCCCAATACACCCCATTATCTGTGAGTTCTGTGTGGCCACTGTAGTGAATTATTGAACCTAGGAGAGAGGTAGTGGGTGCTTTGGGAGGAACAGTTGGAGAAAGGGCTGGAGCATGTCTGGCCTGGCAGGAATAGGCCTTGGGCTACTGATGGTGATTCTGTCTTCCTCTTGTAGGGTTAGAGGAGGTCAGGAGATGTGGCCTCTACTGCCTTTTAGCAAAGTGTAACTGTATATATGCAAATTATATCTCAATACAGAAGTTATTAAGAAAAAAAAAAAAAAAACTAATTCCTTCACCAGGGTTCTTGACTTCATCATTAACAATCTCTTCTGAGGCTTTGTCCCAGAGTTACACGCACGCACACATACACACACACACACATACACTCCCACTTCTCTCTGCTTCCCTCTTTCTCATTGCCTTTCTGCATGTTTAAGCCTCATACTTAAAAAGAAGGAGCTCTGGTAGCATAGTGCCTAAAGCACTTGACTGCTAACCAGAAGGCTGGTGGTTCAAACTCACTAGCCACTCCTCGGAAGGAAGACTGGGCACTCTACTTCTGTAATGATACTGCCTTGGCAACCCAAGGAGGGGTTGCTATGAGTCGGGGCCGACTCGACAGCAAACAACAACAACAACTTAAAAATAACTTCCTTGTACAAAAATAAAATAAATAATAATAAAAAAGAACTTCTCCGGTCCTCAAATATTGTTGCTGTTGTTAGGTGCCATTGAGTCTTCCAATAGTTCAACAGAATTACTGATCCAGCAATTCCACTCCCAGGTATATACCCAAGAAAAATGCAAGCAGGAACACAAACAGATACTTGTATGCCAATGTTCATTGTAGCCAAAAGGTGGAAGCAACCTAAATGTCCATCAAAAGCTGAGTGGGTAAACTAAATGGGGTATATCCACACAATGGAACATCACTCAGCCATAAAGAGAAATAAGCCCTGATACATGCTGCAACATGGGTGAACCTTGAGAATACTGTGCTGAGTGAAACGAGTCAGTCACAGAAGGACAGATATTGTATGATCCCACTTGGATGAAATATGTAGAATAGGCAGATGTTTATCAGTGGCTGCCAGGGCCAGAGGGAGGAGAAAGGGGTGAGTTATTGCTTATGGAAATGGATAATGATGATGGTTGCATGGCATGATGCATGTCATTAATGTCACTGTATTGTACATGTAAAAAATGTTGAAATGGAAAATGTTTCATTATATATGATTTTACCACAATAAAAACTCAAAACAAAAACTTCCTCCTTCCATTCAGTGTTCTTTCACTCTCTCCATTTTTTTTTTCTCTCTCTTATTCCCTCTCCATCTTTCTCTCTCTCTTCTTTTCCCTTTATGGACAAGCTCCCTGTAAAAACCATATAAAAACCACTTCTTCATCTTCCACTCACTCACTCCTCAAACCATTGCAGTCAAGCTTTGAACTTGGGAGATTCTCTGGTAAATATGAACCAAACCAAAAAACCAAACCCACTGCCATCGAATTGATTCTAACTCATAGCACTCCCCATTCGGTTTCCAAGACAGTAAATCTTTATAGAAGTAGGTTGCCTCATCTTCCTCCCATGGAGCAGCTGGTGGGTTTGAATCACCAACTTTCTGGTTAGCAGCTAAATGCCTTACCCACAGTGCCACCAGAGCTCCCACTAATAATGACTTTTATTTCCCTTCCAATGGAAATATCTCTATTATAAAACAAAAGAACACCAAACTCACTGCTGTCAAGTCTCAGATTTTTAAAATGTCTATGCAAATACAGTTATGCAGGATATATTATTTGTAACCTGTTTGTTTCCATTCATTTGGACTTATTGAGGACATGTTTGTATGTCCACTCACATTGAACTCTCTCATTCTTTTGAATGGCTGCAGAGTGTCACTGTAAGGATTATGTTACCAGTTCCTTCCTGAGGTTCATTCAGCTAATTTCCAGCTTATATTATAACTCTGCATTGACCATCCTTGTGCATTTGTCTTTTCACCTTATTCCTTATGATAATCTAAAGGTTTAATTAAAGAAACAAAGACTACACACTTAAATAATTTCATACAGAGGGTATGCCAAATTGCATTCCCACCACCAGTTTCTGAGAGTACCCTTTTCCTCATACCATCCCCACCACTGGGCATTATCAATCTTTCAAATATTTGCCAATTTGAATTGCTAAAAATTCCATCTCACTGTTTTCATGTCAGTGACTTCTTTCATCGCATTCAGGGGATTCCTTCACTCCTCCCCTTCGCTGCTTTGCTTCTGCAGGATCTGTTTCTGAGTCTTTCTACAAGCTTCCTCTCCTTGACTTCTTAACATCATGCTCCTCTGGCTTGCCTTTCCTCTCCTCTCTGGCTGTTCCTTTCTTGTGTTCCTTTGGTGATTCCCTTCTTCTGGCCTCCCTCCCAAACGTTGATGCCTGTTTGATTGTCTTATTCCCCTTCCAGCTCTTCAAAGGTGTAACTCATTCACTCCCACGTTTTCAACTTGACTACTTTAAATCTTAAAACTTGACCAAAATGTTGATGGCTTTTAAACCCATACTTCCTGTCTACTATCTATCATTGGAGCTCCCAGCAGGACATCTCATCTTGAGAATCCCTTTGGAATCAAGCAACGGTCTACTCCACCTGGGACATCTTCATCTCCATTTTCTCCTCCCCTGCCAAAAAAACAGTGACCAAACGTAGACTCTCACCCCCAACACCTCTCACAGATATTCCTTTCTTTCCATCCCCATCGCCTTGGTTCATGCTCAGTCAACCTCAGTGCAGAGGACTGTAATAGTCCTTAACTGGTCTCCCCAAGGAGATGTGGTGGTGCAGTCGTTAAAGTGCTCAGCCGCTAAATGAAAGGTCAGCAATTTGAACTCACCAGCTGCTCTGTGGGAGAAAGACGTGGCAATCTGCTTCTGTAAAGGTTAACAGCCTTGGAAACCCTATGGGGCAGTTCTGTGTCCTATAGGATCACTATGAGTTGGAATTGATTCAATTGGCAGTGGGTTGGGTTGGGTTTTGTTCTCCTTCCCTTCAGCATTAATTACACTTCTTCAATACATCTTTCACATCGTTGCTTGAGTATTTGAAGATGCAAATCTGATCATATTGTTAACTTGCCTAAAATTCTTCAATGCCTGTATGTTCTGTAGTATAGGAAATTCCTGAGCATAAATCCTCCATCATCTGTTTTGTTTTGTTTGTTTTTGTCATGCACAGTCTCTCCTCATCCCTGTCCTCAACTCCCTAACCATAACCTTTCTTCCCATTACCACCATCATTCCCATGTGGTAGGCAAATATCATTCATCTGTCAAGATTCAACTGAAGGGTTACTTCCTCTACGAACCTTTCCAGGCTTCACTCTACTCAGGCAGAATGGACTGATTCTACCTTTGATTCTTCCCTGTTCCAGATCCAGCCCTCTAACGATTTCTACAGAAAACACTTAATAACTCCTATTTCTTATCTGGGTTCTGTCTCTACCCAGGCAGGTATTGTGTGTATTTATTTCCATATCCCCAATGCCAAGCACAGTGACTGGCACATGGCAAGCTTTCAACAAGGTTGTTGAATGACTGAATGAATAAATAAATGAATGGACATATTCTGTAAATTCTACATCTGTAGGCTTTACTAAGGAAAGATTAGGCTCTGGTAAAGATAACACCTAATTCCTGATGTATAGGTTTAGAACATGCCCTATTTAATGGGAAGATGTGTAAAAATGTATGCATCGAGTGGGCTCCTTTTCTTTGTACTCTAATTAGTTAAAATGGTATCGTTGTTGTTGTTGTTATGTGCCGTCGAGTCAAACCCGACTCATAGCGACCCCTCCTTGGGTTTCTGAGGCATCACTACGGAAGTAGGATTGCCCAACCTTCCTTCCGAGGAGTGGCTGGTGGGTTTGAACTGCCAGCCATCTGGTTAGCAGGCAAGTGTCTTAGTCACTATGCTACCAGAGCTCCCTAAAATGGTATAAAATGTGTATATATGTGTATATATTAAAATGTGTGCAAAAAGGCAAATATTACATGATTCCACTTATATGAAATATCTAGGCTAGGCAAGTGTATAGAGACCAAAGTTTATTAAAGGTTTCCAGGGGTGGGTGGGAGGGAGGGGAAAGAGCAGCCACTGCTTAGGGGACACTGAGCTTCTGTTACGAGTGATAGTATAATGTGGGAATGAGAAAGGGATGGTCGAAAGAAAGAAAGAAGATTGGCCATTTGGTGACAGATTTTGAAGCTAGGTTATGGGCACAGGGGAGTTCGTCATACTAGTCTTTGCTTCTGTTTGAAATATTTCATAATAAAAAAATAAAAAGCATGATGAACATAATTAATGTCACTGAACTAAATAAACATATGAAGAATGTTGAAAGGTTTAATGTTTTGTTACATATACGTTTACCACAAGAAGAAAAAATGAACCAGAAAAGAAAATGTGCATATATGTGTATATAATTTAAACTTAGAATTTAAATTCAGATTTGGAATTTTAAATGTTCAAAATATTCTGGCTTGCTAGAACTGAGCTTGGGACTGAGGCTAGGGTATACCTGGTAGTCAGTCATTCCTTTTCTCTCTTGTGTTTATCAACTTGGATGCCACATGGGGCAATGGGCTGGGTTACCTGATCTTGGCTGATCAAGCAATGTGTTTTGGGGCTGCTTATCACCTTCACCAGAGTGGGACCATCCTACCACCATTTAATTATTCAATGCCCCAAACAAGATCATCCAAATCAGATAAACTGGTGGCCACCCTAGGATGCTGGGTGCCCCAAACCTGTCTCCCAGCCACCTGCCAGAAGCTTCAGCAAGCAGCGACATCCCCACCCACATGACCTCCCCACCCTGCTGTGAACTACGAGACACTTACGCGATGATGTTGAAGCAGTCCTTGTTGGACAATTGCTCTTCAAGCAGTAGTCGCAGGGAGTGTTGGATATGAATAATGTACATGGAATTGGTCACAGAGATATCGAGCAGTATAACCACCCTAAAAAGAAACACAAGCTCTACAAGGAGAACTGAATCTCACAGATAATGTTCATTTTGTTCCATTTTATTATTTAAAGTTTTTTCCAGGGGAATTTTTGCATGCCAGATTCACAGGTGGCCAAAATCTTCTCCGTGGTTTGAGGTCAGCAGAGGGGTTTACAACAGTAGACTGGGGGGTAGTGGAACTTTATCTTGCAGGAGGTTCTGTAATGGAATAAAGTCTCAGATGGTGGAGATAGTCTAAGGCGCAGGGGATGACTGTCATGTTTCAAAGTACTAGTGCTCAACATTATAGGTTGAGGTCTTTGTAGGGAAAGCAGAAACAAGATAAGCAAGTAATAAAGGCATAAGGTGTACCGAGGCCAATGGGAAAATGTGGTATGTTTTTTTCCCATTTTAAGATCTCCAGCCTTATGGTGCCTCCCCTTCTTTTACTACTTTAAATCTTATATAGCTCCCACCCCACTCCCACCCCCTACCAATTCTCATTTTTGAGAAAGTGATGGATAGCAAAAGAAAATCCACTGAATTTGGAGTCAGAAGACCTTGGTCCAACTACCACTTCCTACTAGTTGTGTGGTCTTAGGAAAGTCACCAAACTCTGATCCCTGGTTAATTAATTATAAGCTGAGCTCTGGTGGCATAGTGCCTAAGGCACTTGACTGCTAACCAGAAGGCTGGTGGTTCAAATCCACCCTTGGAAGGAAGGTTGGGCAATCTACTTCCATAGTGATACTGCCTCGGAAACTCAAGGAGGGATCGTTATGAGTTGGATCCAACTCAATGGCAGTGTTTTGTTTTGTTTTTTAAATTTCTAATACAAAGCTTGCCTGAAAACAAGATGAATAAAGAAGAAAATAGAGCTGAAAGATGAAGAAAGAGAGATTCCTGACATAAAGAACGCCTGGATCCAGCCATGCCTGAAGATAGCTATCAAATCTGTCCTAGAATTTTCAGTTACCTGAACCAAAAGTTCTTGCTTTGCTTACACCAATTTGCATTTAGTTTCTGTCACTTTTTAACTGAAAGAATCCTGAGTGACACAGTGATGAAATTCTTATCAACGATGATGGTGGTGACTTCTTTCTCCTCCAAGAGGTTCTGCTGAGTCATTGCTGATCCTTAATCTAACTGAGACCAGATTAGCATCGTAGCAACATGCAAGCCTCCATTGTCAGAGTGGCGGCCGCTGTACATGAAGTACAGTTGCTGGGAATCAAACCCAGGCCTCCAATGTGGAAGGTGAGAATTCCACCACTGAACCATCAATGCCCCAGGTTTCAGTGGAGCTTCCAGACTAAGACAGACTGCAAGAAAATTCTGGCAACCTATCTCCAAAAATCAGCCAATGAAAACACTGTGGACCACAATGGTCCAACCCACAACCAATCACAGGGATTGTGCGAGACTGGGCAGTATTTTGTTCTGTTGTGCACCGCGTGGCCAGAGTCTGGGCCAACTTGGCAGTGGCTAACAACAATAGTAACAATCTAAGTGATGGCTTCTGATGCTACCAATGGGGAATTAAGGAGCTGGATAAGTGCTGTTTCATATACTGGAGCCATGGCAGGAAGGGCACTGCTTGGGGAAGGTACCTTTTCTCACAGACGGTGCCCCAGATTCTTCTGCTGGCCAGGGAGAGCCACTCGATTCGTCTCTCATACATCCGCATAGCTCTGTTGAGCTGTTTCTGAAAACCCATGGGCCATACACAGTGAGTGACTTCTCAAAGATGGCCAGTTAAAGGGTCTATGTGTGTGTGAGGTGTAGACCTCAATTGGCTTATGGGCATGGTGTGACTTCAGCCCATGGCCTGGTGTGGTATCTCCACATCCCATGGTGTTTTCCACCCACACTCCTCACACCCTTATGCTGACTGATTGGATCCATCACTGACCTGGTACTCATAGAGGAAGGGTGGGTCCACGTGAATATTCTTCACTGTTCCATCGTGCCACTCAAATTGTACCATTGCCTTCTGCACTCCAACATGGGCAAGAGAGAGGGGAGATGAACATAGATTTGGGAAAAGGATTGTGAGTTTAACTTGGGTACTTGTTCCCTGAATCAGATGCCTGAGAGGGAAATGAGAGGGAAATAAGACCATCTGGAGTCAGATCACCCCTTACCAAATCATTGTCTTATTTGGGACTAACAGCAGAGGGCCTTCAGGAGAGTGGTCCTCTGGATGAACCATGCTGACAGCAAGCCAGGCTGCCATCTCAGGAGGCTCTTTGGAACCTCTGAGTCCTACTTACAAGATATGGTTGGAGGGTTTTGATAACAGACAGCAATACCAGAGATCTGAAAACACGCTGGCCAGGGGTTCTTAGGTTTGGGAACTCAGCTAGGCCTTCATGGACACTTTGAAAATACAATTTTTTCATCCTGTTCTCTCACCTTTCACCAAGTCATGATGCCACCTCTCTAACTAACATGTAGTCATTCATGCATCCATTGAGAGAACTATCTATCCCTCACTCCATCCCTCTTTCTTTTCATTCTGCCATCTCTCCTCAGTCCTTTTTATCATTATTATTCCTTCCTTCCACTTCCCCATCCTTCCAGTCTTACTTTAGATTTCACTTTCATCCATCCTTTATTCCATTCCTATCATCTGTGTTAATTTCTCCTTCCATATTCCATCACTTTTTCACCTTTCCATCCATTTACATGTTTTCATGCCTTCATCAATATTTTCATCCATGCACCCATTCATCCTTCTTTCCATTTTCCTTTCTATCCTTCCTTCCATCTATGCACCCACTCATCCACCTACTAAACATTCATTGATCACCTGATTGTTAGTTAACAATTGTCAATTGTTGGGGATATACAATTGGAGAAGACATTTTCATAAATGGCTCATATACTCTGGTGGCAATTTAGACATGTGAAATACACTCATACTAATATGTTATGGGAGCTTTACAAGGAACCAAACCAAAATAAACTCACTGCTGTTGAGTCAAACCTGACTCATAGAGACACATCCTTGGGTTTCCGAGGCAGTTGTTGTTGTTGTTATGGGCCGTTGAGTCAGCCCCGACCCATAGCGACTGCTCCTCGGGTTTCCGAGGCAGTATCACTACAGAAGTAGATTGCCCCATCTTCCTTCCGAGGAGTGGCTGGTGGGTTTGAACCACCAGCCTCTGGTTAGCAGTCAAGTGCCTTAGGCACTACACTACCAGAGCTCCTTTACAAGGCGGTAGCACTACGGAAGTGGATTGCCCAACTTTCCTTCTGAGGAGTGCTGGTGGGTTTGAACCACCAGCCTTCTGGTTAGCAGTCAAATGCCTTAGGCACTACACCACCAGAGCTCCTTTACAAGGAACAGTGGGGCACAAAAGAGAGGAGTCTGTTGTAGCTGAGTGGAGTGGTGGGAAACCTTCATGAAAGAGGTGATCATAGTACCCATTTACTTTTTCTTGCCCCATCTCCCAAGCTGCATTTTCAGCTTTTTGAAAAACAGTAGCTACAGTAGCTTTAATGAGAATTCTAGATTTCTCATAAAGCCTGCATCCCACTTCAGGCTGCTTGGCCCACACTCTTTGTGTGTGTGTGTGTGTGTGTGTGTGTGTGTGTGATTTGGGTGAAAATTTACAGTGCAAATTCATTTTCCATACAGCAGTTCACATACACTTTGTCTCATGACATTGACCACAATTTACCCCAATGTAACAGCTCCCCGCCTACTTCCTCCCCATAGATACCTCTTCCCTGTGTCCATCCTTCCATGCATTCCTGCCCCCTGAGCTGTATTCCTGTGCATAAGCAGCCCTTCTTTCTCCCATGATTGTTCTCTCCAAGGAGTGTATCTACCTCAGGTAAATGTTCAACTCATATGCCTTTTGTTTTGGTAGAAGCCATAGGTGTGGGTTTAATTCCAGACCTGTAGGGCAGCTAGGGGCCATAGTCTCAGTGGTTCCACCAGACTCTATCAGACCAGCAAACCTGGTCTCCTGCCCCCTTTTTTTCCCAAATGATTTTGAGTTTTGTTCCACATTGTTCTCCCTCTCCTTCCAGTATCTCCTATATAGATCCCCCTCCGAGTGGTTGATAATGGTATCTGGGCACCATCTCGTTCTTCTGGTGTCATAGTCATATAGGCTGCGGATTGCATGGTGTACCAGTCACTAGGACTAATTATTTCCATGAATTTTTGGTTTTCTTCATTCTTCTTTGCTCTGGATGAGGAAAGACCCATCATTGCATCTAGATAGCTGCTTGCAAGCTTCTTATTAAGATACCAGTCACTACTCACCTAAGTAGGAGGTGGAACAATATTTTGTGTAGTATGTTATGCCAATTGAGCTTGATGTCCCCTTTGACTATGGTCCCAAGCCCACCAGTTCAACTACTCGGTCCCTCTGGGTAGCTAGCTGTGACCAAGAAGTGACTACACCTTGTCCCTTGTCAGCTCTACTATACACCTGAGAATTCTTACAGATCATACACTTATAGGACCATATCTGCCAACCCTATACATGCTCTTGGTACACTCTCTGCTTCATAGACATACCTAATAGTTCAGCCTGCCCACCCATCCATCCACCTGTATACCCATGTTTGCCTTCACTGACAATGCAGTACTGTATGTGCAAAGGTTCATCTTTGTCATCTGTACCTCCCATGGACCTCTCTATGTCTTCCTCTTCCTCAATGCCACCATATTGATCACTCACAATTTGGTACATTGCCCTTCTCTTCATCCAAATCAATACTAATCTCTACTATCTAACAGTGTTCCCTCCCCTCCCCTCCCACCCCTGGTAACCAACAAGGAAAATTTCCTTCCATAGATAAACCTTTCCTTGACTTTTACAATAATGGACTGATATAATATTTGTCCTTCTGTGATTGAC